CGGTTGTGCTCTATGCTCAGGTATCTTAGGGTTTTAGTACTCAACTGGCCTAGCTCGTCAAACCTAGTTTGAGTCTCGGCAACAATATTGCCAACCTCGGTCTCTCTGGACCATACTCCCACTAGAGTTCTTTGTTCTACTATCATAAAATTGGTTACATGCTCTTCTAAGGGCTTTAAATGGCCACCAAAACCCAACATCATTATTATTATCATCGACCTGATCCACACATACTTCATCTTCCTTGGTCTCCCCTGAGTTGGCCTCTACCCCCTTGACCTTTGGAACTGATGTGCGACTGGACCCATATTTTTTCTTTGCGTTCTAGTGTTAAGCCTTACTTCTTCTCCAGCTCCTATGGCTTGCTCGGCATCATACCAAGATTAAGATCCTCAACCTCGAATACATGCTCTGATTGTAGATCTGCAGTCCACTCATCATCCAATCAAATTGGGTTGACATCCATGCGTTTTAAGTACCTCTCCTTAAGGTGCTATTGTATTGCACACACACACGAGATAATTCAACTTCTTTTTCTCGAGCCTATTTCTTTTTTGGTATATACCTATGATACAAGACAAGGAAACAAGCAAAGGACAAAAATGTCCGTTTCTAGTCTTCTTAGATTCTAGAATTTTGAGAACCAACAAATAAGGACCTACATTCTCAAATGGTCTCTAATTGGGTTCGCAACCGGATGAACTACATTTGAGGCTCAACAATCGAATAGCGATGTTGAAGATGTTGTGTCACACTTCCATATGCAACTACACATTATTTTAGATAATTATTTATAGGGGAATGAACCTTTATATCTTCCATACACAGTGCTAGTATATGTGAGTTTAGGACTGTCCATTTTTATTGCGAAAAGATCTTAACACTTTAACTTGGAGAACCTGTTAATAGGTTTTTTGTGTTCAATGTATTTTTACCTTTTTGCCCTCCCCTATCTGTTTCTTGCACTCTGTAGGAGCTCATGAGGATCAATGGACCATGGATTTTGGGGTTTTTTATGAAGTTGCTGAAGATATTGACGAATTTGGGTGCTCATGTGGATCAATGGACAATGAATTTTGGCAGTTTTTATTAGATTATGGAGAGAAAATTTGATTGTGGATTCGGTGAATTGAGAGCAGAGAGAAAGTAAACAGAGATGGGGCCGAAAACAAAGAAATCCTACACGAAAATCCTATCCTCTACATATAGAGATCTCTTACATTAAAAGAGACATCGAGAGAGAAAAAATCACGGGAATAATATATTAAAAAAAAAAAAACCCAAATCATTAAGGTACACATAACTCTCTTGAAAAGTTTCCAGAGAATGCTACAAAGACTAAGCAACCGCTTTGTGGGGCTTGGCAGTTGTTCCTACCCACAAAATCAGCCATTTTCAGTGAGAGAATAATTTTAGAGACAGCAACCAGTTGACCCGCACATGCAAAAGCATGTAATTGTGTGGTTTTCTCCAATAATAGAAAACAAAGGTAAAGGTCAATGAGAGCCAAGTGTGTCTTTGATGAAGAGAAAGTGTTTAATGGATTTACGCGCTTGTTTCTCTATCATCTAATTCTCTCACTTTCCATGCTACTATTTTCCCATTCATTTCTCTCTTGTACTATTTTCTCTCTAATAATTGAGTACGTGTCTGGTGTGAGGAGATTACAGACAATCAGTCTTAAGTGGTTGATCTTAGTTGAATCATCGGTTTTAGACGCATGATTACAAATTCTTGAAGGAAAAAGCTTGTCAAATAAAAGAGAGAAGAGCAAGAAGATAGATAAAATCAGTGCTATTTCGGCTCCATCAAAGCTACAACAATTTGCACACTCATAAGAAGTTTTCCTATGGATAGGAAAAAAGGAAAAAGATAAGAAACGTTCGTATCCTTGCTGGAGAGGGAGGAAGGATTGTTTAAGGTATTGGGTTAAGTCACTAAAGATCTGGGGATCATTGGAGAGTTCTCTTGGGTGATAGTTGGTTGGCACAAGTGAGAGAGAGAAAGGGAGAAAATAGGTATTTTATAAAAGAAAGGGCATAAGTACTCCAATACACTGTAACATGGTCTATTGAAAATATATTGGATCATTCCCCTTATTTATAATGGAACTATATAAGTAAAATTGTAAAATAGAAAAGGTGCTTTTTACCTTTTTGATTACTTGATTGTGTAGTATCCCCGTTTGGAATTGCGATGTCTCTTCCAAAGTTTCCCAGTGCACACTTGAACTTTATCAATTCATATCTTTGGATCTCATCTTAGATAGTTGGGTCAGGGACTCACCAGCCCCTCAAGCCCCTCAAGCACATCTAAGAACTGGCCATGTATCATATGTTCTTACTCAATGAATGGGTGCTTTTAGTGTAGAGATGGATTAAAAGAGTAATCAGCTGCATGGAGGGCTAGTGAAACTGGTTATTCCATTCCCTATCAACAATGTCAAGTATAAGCTTGTATTCACTTTGATAATTCTTTAGAACCTTTTTGATCTCATTGTTTCTCTAATCATTGCCTCATGGATGTAGCTCATGGCGGGCTTTCCTTCATGATCAACGAATCAAAACACTTTTTTTTTTTTGAAACCGTTGCCAATTGAAACACTTTCATTAAAGGTCAGGAAACATCCAATGCATAATATGTTTCGTTCTAAAAAGATGTTTTAAGGACATTATGCTAAGCTTTTCTCCCATCGCGATGCTTTGACCACTTAATTTTATTCCTCTTCTCCAAAGTAAACATGGTCCTTGGGGCACCTTTTGGCTTGCATAGGCTTTGAAGTGTGAGAAATGCCATTGGATTTCTTGTCACTCCTACTCTCACTACCTCTCTCTTCTTTGTAAACTCCCTCATCATGCTTAGGATTATGGTATGAATATAGATAAAACTTCTTTTTAAATTCTAAATATATCCAGATGCGAAGTAATTGGCACCATTGTCAGTGACAATTTGTACCACATGTTCCTTCCCAACAAAGTCTACAATGTCATCCATCAACTCACTCAAGTATGTGGCATCATGTGATTTGTCTGTTGCAACAATAGATTTCACATAAAAAAGTGACTAAATGACATTTAAGGAAAAAAATCAGCAAATGCTTGAGACTTTCCATCACACATGATGGTCACCCCATACTTCTCCCACCCTTCTTTTTGAGAACTCAATTTTTTTTTAATTTCATTTGCAGCATACTTTAAAAGAGGCTCCCTAAACTCATGTAATGAAGTGGACTTGAGACCTGGGCCAAATTGCCCAATTGCCTGGACCATAACCTTAAAACTATCGAGGTTTACTGTATCGAAAGAAATACTGGCCAAATAAAACCACTTCGCAATGTATTTGCTTACCTTAACCCTCTCTTCTTTCTTGTATCTATTTTCAAGTGTGGTTTGTTTTGTTTTTTCCCTCCTTTCGCAAACCACAACTTCGGAGTTAGGGGTGCAAAATGCATCCATTGGCCCCTTAGGGAGAGATCTTTTTTGTTGAACATTAACACCAATAATGCCCTCTTTCTTGTAATCACCCTATGCCTACTTCCAACATCCGGTGCCTCTTCATTGTCATCATCAAATAATTCAATTTTCTCCAATATTTCCTTTTGTACTATTTTCTTCTTTTCTCTCTCTCTCTCTCTCTCTCTTTTAAAGGCTATCCATATATTCCCTAATCTCCTCGTTGATATCATTGGTTGCTTGTGGGCATGCTACAACAATTCCAGCCTGTATTCTTTTTGCTGTAAAATACTCGCCATATATGTATTTCCACAAAAAGTACAGATAGCACAATTTTGATCTTTTGGATTTATGGGTTTGGCATATCCCAGCCGGATCCTTATTGCTTGAATATGACGAAGACATTGCCCCAATAGAAAATATTAGGAAATGAAACTTGCCAAATAATCGAAAGAAATTTTGATTTCTTCTCGGTCAACCCACGATTAGTTGGTGAATCTACACCCAAACACCTTCAAAATAATGCCCAAGGTAATATCAATGGATAACAAAAATAATCTTTAACAGTTTCAAAAACTTCGGATTCAAGAAAATTCACAATACAATTTTATTTTTTGGATCATCAAAGAGCCACCAAAAGTGGTTCTAATGAAGTTTTGGGGAGGTTATGTATCCCCCAAACGGTTTCCCCCTCACTTTGTGGCGGCCATAGGGGGGAAGGGGGAGGGTGCGTTACATTTTTTGCCCATGCTTGTAGACCAGCTTTTCACTGACTCTTGTGGGCGACCTTTTCACTTACGAGCATTGGGCCACTTATGCATGCATAGTGCGTTGCATATGCGGGTCCTGCATGCATATGTGGGAGCATCACCCAAAGGCGCATATGTGGTTCGATGCGATGCGCCTTAGGTCTCATAATGTGGGATGGGGTCACATTTAAAAACAATGGATGCAATCCAAGCTCCCTTCAGGTAGCAAAATCAAGTGAGAGTTGAAGAGAGGTTCATTGCCAGCTTTCCTCATGGTATAAGGTAGACAAGCTTATATTCCTTGTTCGGTGTATTTGGTATTTCGTTGTTCAAATTCTTCCTTATTTTTGTACTTTTGGGGTCAAACTGGAGGTGTATCGCCCACCAAAACATGGGATATTGTCAGAGTTGCTTATAAAAGATGCGGAGTAAGGTCCTGATTGAACCCAGCTTAATGTAGAAAGTTTCTCCTTAATTCAAGTTTTGTGGTGTGTTTTCTTGGATTTTTGCCATGGGTCATAAAATCAACATTTCCAAAACACAATTCACACACTCACATGGTTCTCAATGTGCCATTTCTGTGTTATTTTATCAGTCACTGAGACTGATTATGCTGTAAGTGAATAGAATTCTATGCTCTTCCTTAAGTGCATATCAATTGGCTAAACGGTGTGTGATGTTCTATTCGCATTGACAGTTTTCTTTGGAAACTTCACTATTATGAATTTATTGAAGTTTCATGTTAGATTTTTATTACCAGTTATAGTTGATCCTTATTAGTTTGTTAATATCCTTGTAGATATGCCGTGTCGAGGACCTCACAGTCAGCGGTCTTGTTAAAGGAAGTATTCTTCATATTCATAGAGCAAGGACTGTTGTCATCGAACCCTCTGGCATGATAAGTGCATCTGAATTAGGTAATCTGATGTGTGTCTGATTCGTTTTATTGGGTAACATTTATATCCATTACTTCACATCCCTAAGTTTTTTTCTTTGTTGTCCGATATAATTAATTACTAATGCAAGTGTACTTTCTATCCAATTTGCTATCATTCTGACCTTTATTGCCTTCCTTTTTAGGTTGCTTAGAAGGCATTGGTAAGGGAAAATTTCTAAAATATGGAGCTGGAGGCGGTGGTGGTCATGGTGGTAGTGGTGGTGCCGGGTATTATAATGGGAAGTTTAGTGAAGGTGGTCCAGAATATGGTGATGCCAATCTTCCCTGCGAATTAGGAAGTGGAAGTGGTGGACCTAGTGAACTTGATGGACAAGTTGCTGGAGGAGGGATGATTGGTATGTAGTTTTCTGCATCATGTTTTGCCCATCTTCTGACTTTTTTACCCTATTTCTACATGTGTTAAATATCTAGGGAAGTACTTTTCTTTTGAATTTTTGAAAGCCTGGGTATGTTATAACTCAAAAGTGAAGGTAGAATGTCAATGAAAGTGTGTGTCCTGAGTTGAGCACATAATAATTTTGGAATCACATAATAATTTTGGAATCTTTCTTTTCATCATTACTTCTTCAGGAATATTTCTTTCTTTCCTCAAATTTTTAACCCATAGGTAAGCAGGATTTTTCTTCTTACTGTTAATCTCTTTATTACTATTTTTCAATGAGGTCATAATACTGTTTCGTTCATAAATATTTGGGGAATAATGCTTTCCATACAGGCAGTAAAATGTTCACCTCGACAGTTAAGATATTGTTCACAAGAGTCTATATTGTCACAGCCTTCGTAAAGCCCCGTGCTTCGGGAGTGCGGTTCCTGTTCCTTGGTCCGTTAAGGACGACTCAGGCGTCCGAACCACTGGCATAAGTGCGCACCAACAGGCATGATAAGATGGCCAACACTAGTGATTACCACCCACACCATAGCACAATTGATATAAGTGTGCAACACGCACAAGAGAGAGTAGTCATGTACATACAAGAGCGAGAGGGACACAGTAAAATAGGAAGAGCTTTGTATTCTACTAATGCTCAATAGCTTACAAGGTCTGAGGTCTTCATTCTTCTAAGGTATGTTACAAATGAGAGGTCCTCCCCTTTATATAGGCTCTTGGCCTTACAGCTGACGGTCATGATTGTTACACAAGGCATACATCCGACGGCTAAGAACCTTCTAGCCTCTATAGTTCTAGAGTGTTCTACACAACCTTCACTTAGGATACATCTAGAAACCCACTAGAACCCTCGCCCTAGAGTTCTCTATAACCTTCTGGCCCAAGTGATAAAAAATTGGCTAGTGTACACATATAGTACAAGGCATTTTGGGGTGTGACAATACGCTCTTGATGTATTGATGAAATTTCTCCAAGGTTCCTTTTTCTGTATTTTCTTTCTATTAGAGCGAAAACATGAGCATTGAAAGGGTCCTTGTGATTTTCTTCGGGAGAAATGAGTCCACAAAGCCAATATAGATTCAAGAAACTGTACTCCATATATGTGCAAACAGTAAACTTTTGTGCATATAGGTTCGCAAAACCCTACATGTAGAAACAACATATATTCACACAAAGGCAGAGATATTTGTGTCTATCTATGGGAAAGTTTACTACAATCTCGGGGACATTTATAAAACCACAGTCCTTTAAGGACTCTGGAGTAAGTACATATATGTGTCTGCTTATATCTGTTTATGGGGAAGGATACAACAATCTAGAGGACTTAATAAAACTCATAGTACTTTTGGTCATTACCATCTATCATAATGATGGACAGTAATGGAGAGCGAGGTGTTTCATAACGAGACATGGTCCCTGTGGCAGGTCCCATTGTCTCCATTACTCTTCAATGGACACTGATGACCCTAAGGACGTCGATTTCCCATGTTTGATTGGTTTATAGTTCTACTTTCTTCATTATATATACACCTGTATGGGATTGTGTTTGTGAGCCTGTTTGTAATTATTCTGGCATTTACTTAAAATGCTTCTTTACATGTGCCTGTGGGTGTGCTTCATTAATTACAGTTGTTACAGTTGCATACTTTTAATGTTTCTTTATGTGTATATATGTAATTATGGCCAATATTTGTGTATGTTATGAGATGGAAAGATAAGTGCGCGACAAAAGAGTTGAAATGACCTGCCCATAGTGCATTGATAAAGCAGTAGTAAAGTAGGCATTGTGAGTATCTTTTTCATGGTTTCTCTTACTACATTGGATGCATTTTTTTTTCTGAGAATGGGTGACATTATATTAAATTGTATATATGGTCACGTCGGCAGCCCACAGACCAGGTGCTCGGTGTGTCAAAAAATCATGTATTGCTAAGAACTGGATAATAATTAAAAAAAAAAATACTATGTCTAAAAGCGGTCTAAAAAAACAGAGGTAGCAAGAAGAGAGGTTAAATGAAGAGAGGTGGGGAAGAGTCTTCGGTAAGGGGAGCAGAAGAGGGGTCCGCTGCGGTGACTAGTGAAGAGTGGGGGGCGGAAGAGGAGGAGCGCTCACAATAAGGGGAAGGCATGGCGAAAGAGGTAGAGCCCTCTCAGTAAGCAGAAAAGGGGAAAAGCTGGTCACGGGGCTGCTTCTAAAGTGCCATTTGTAGATTATCAGGCATCCCGTTCTTGGGATAGGCGAGAGAGGTCACATCGCTTTTAGGGAGATAGACGTTCGAGCATGCACAAAGGACCTCATTGCCACGAGAGGGCCGAAGATTGCAGGAAGAGGGAGAGCTTACGGGATGCGTCAGTGCTACATCACACGAGGAGGGGACAAGCTGGAGGGCAAAGTCTGTGGCTTGATGAGGAAGCCGCCCTGTCGGTTCAAGGGAGGCACGTGTCGTTCCAGGGTAGGCCGCAAGGGATGACGACACGTGAGCTCTAGGCAGTTGAGACGGACAACGCATGCCTGAGTGGCCATCTGGGGCGTGGACGCGTGGTTGTGGGGAGGAGGCCTGGATGTTGACGCATGCAAGCTTTAAAGGCCCTAGCTGTGCCGTGCGGTCCATGTTACGAGATTTGGGTTTAGGATGGGTCTGAGGACCTTGTTTAGCCCTACGATGACGGGACCAATGGCAATGATTGTTCCGAGATGGGTTTTTGCGTGAAACGGTGGTCCAGCCACTATGGAGCATAGAGTCACTGTTGATGTGGTCCTGAGAAAGTGGACCAGCGAAGGAGAAAGCGTGGTCCTGAGAATGGCGAGATGGCAGAGTGGGGGAACCCAAAGACCAGGATATGACAGTGCGAAAGAAAAGCCCATTAACCTCCTGCCAGAGAAAGGGGGGTAAGAAGGGGAAAGGGGTCTGAAGCAGAAGCTGGATGGTGCCCAAAGGTAGGGAACTAGCAGATCTCCAATGGACAACAATAAAGGACCCAAGGGCATTTCGTATCTTCTTAAAAGTGTCAATGTTCCAGGCTTGAAGAGGATTATGAGCCACTTTGAGCCAGATTTTTAGAGGTTTAGCAGCACCCATCTCTTTGTGCCACCTAGTTAGAGCAGCACCCTTGAAGTGACTGTTTTTGTTCCCAAGGCTTTGGGGAGGGTAGTTCCCACTAGGGAGAGTTGCAGAGCATGTTCAAGGAAGGTGGTATGTGTAAAAAGGGAGGAAGGGATGGGGGGAAGACGTTGTTGGGCCAAGGAAATAGGGAGAATTTTTGGGTAGCAGATGAGGAGGCTGTCTCAGTGCATGTAGTTATTGTAGAGGGGAGGAACAGAAGGAGTGGAGAGTAGAGATGGTTGAGGGTTAGAGGAAGAAGGGGGTTTGAGGGAGTGAAGAGAGAGTAGGGAGGAGGGATGGGGAGGAGGATGAGGGGGCTGGGGGGCTCTGTTAGACGAGCTATCTCTGGTCATAAGAAGGCCAAATTCCAGTCCTTTGAATTTTATGTAGTCCCGCGATCATCTTTGAGGGATGCTAGTATACTATGGTCCTCTGTTGGGGCTTGGTGGCCCAGGTGAACAGAGGAGGGTTTGGTTTGTGGATCATCAACATTAGAGATGGGAGAGGCAGTGGCAAAATTCTTGAACGGGTTGGCGATGTTGTTAAGCAAAAGATGCGTGAGACTGGTTTGAGTCAGGATTATAATTAGATCTTAGGGGCGGCTTGTGTGATTGATAGTGACCTAGTCAAATGCATCGTCCACAAATATCTACTATGACTTGATATTGAGAGATGGCAGACATGCAATAGATGTGGAACCATTTCCTATTTTGTGGAGTGGCAGAGAAAGAGGGCTCCAGTATGAAAGAGACAATTTCCCTCCTCAGAAAGTAGGATTTGTGTTTTGGATGGTGTTATCAGCCTTTTTTGCGGAGGCAAAGAGAATTAAGTGTTATCCTTTTGAGAGTGTATGGCAAGACACCTGAGCTGAGTTCCCTGCGGAGGAAGCCCATTTTTGAATGTTTTTTATGTCGTCGCTTGCAGGGGAGAAATGAGCATTGCGGCAGTGCTTCAGGAGATCGATTCTTTTTCCAGGAACTCACCTTGGATCTGCAAAAGTTTATAGTGGGATCGATAGAGAAAAGAGGGTGGATTTTGGGGCTTAGGCTTGGGGTTTGCAGTTTTGAGGGGTGTTTTTGAGTTGGTCTGTGAGTTGCACAGCCTGTGCCTAGGTTTGGTTTTGTTGTGGGGGTCTCTGTAGTTGGAGGTAGGTGTAGTTAAAGGTTTTGAGTTTTGCATGTTAGTTTGGTATGAGAACTCTCTATGGGCAAACTTTTGATATCTGGTGTGGAAGAAGTTGGATCAGGGTTTCATTGCCAGGGTAGATCAAGTTCCAGTAGTAGTTGTCTAAGGGAGGTTGGTGAGTCCTGGCATTAACTATGGGTGGGGCAGGTTTGATGTGTTTATGGTTCATACTTCTGGAAGGCAATAGATGGAGTTCATGAAAAGGGGAGAGTCTTCCCTCTCTCCAGAGGGAGTGAAAGGAAAAGAGAGGAGAGCAGGAGTTACAGGAGATGAATGCTTTTTTCTCTCAACGAATAAGTTGAATGCAATTTTTAATTGATTTTTCAATTTCTCATGTCTGATAATCCACTTATTTGTTTTGGTTAATTGTTTTGATATAATTATCTTGAATGAAGGTTGGATTTGTATTGTTTGCCTTTTCTTTTGTATGAATGATTGTTCAATTGTAAGGAATTTCATTTTTTTATTAATAGTTGATGGAACTGTGTTATTGATGATTTTTTATTTATCTTGTTCTCACCTAGCAATGGGTTCCACCCAATGGCCACTATCGAAGCTTAGTATTCATGGCACATTGAAGGCTGACGGGCAAAGCTGTGGAAAACCAAGGCATAACAATAATGGTACAGTTGTGGGGGGCATTGGAGGTGGTTCTGGTGGGACAATTCTTCTGTTCCTTCAAGCACTTAAACTTGGATACAATTCGACTTTATCTGTTGTTGGTGGGAATGGTGGTCCTATTGGTGGCGGTGGTGGTGGTGGAGGGAGAATTCACTTTGATTGGTCAAACATAGCTACTGGAGATGAATACGTCCCAATTGCTATTTTGAATGGAACAATATACACCAGGTTTGATCCCTCTCTATCATGAGAATGAATACACTTGTTGGATTGCTTTACATGAGTACTGAATTATATGAAAAGCATCTATTAGTCAAGTTGAATGGACTTGTTTCCCTAAAGTGATTTAATATATTTATTCTTATCTCGGTTGAGGTATTTGGCATGGCATGATTTTCATGATGCTTATTCTCTAGAATTAATTTCACTTTAAATTATATTTTACATTCTAGTGCTGCTTGAGTTGGCAAGGTAAGCTTGGAGGAAGGCAAGTTCTAGTGCCAAGTTTTTTAATTTCTCTCTTCCTTTTTGGATTCACTTATGTCACTAAATGGAATCATAATGCTGTCTGGCTACCTTTGATCTAGTAGTGGAAAATCTATTTTTTGGTGATAGAGGTTGATATTCTGAAGTTAGTTCCTCATGGTAAAAGACTTAATTACCACACAACAACAATTAAAAATGGAGAACTGTACAAGGTGGATGTGACATATATGGTCCACCTTTAGGGCAAGTGTTAAGTTTCATATATTCTCATTATCGTTATCATTGTTTTATTGTTGTTTTCTGTAGCCAAAAAGAAATTATATCATGGCTTTGGTCTATATGAATCTGTAGAGCTAAGTCTCTCTATCCTCAAGTGTTGCTTCTCAACCATTATGTAGATGCCATATTAACTTTTGAGCTCTTCTAATGAGAATGTAAATTAAGTTTACATTTTGCAAGAGTGAGGGGCCTAGATCCCTTGCATGCTATTCGGTTGATTTGGTGACCACCAAAAAAATCTTTGGAACAAGTGTTTTACGTCAAAAATTTCTGCCCACGAGAAAAAAAAGACGAAAGAAAGACCACCATAACTGTTCTTGAGGACTCAATCTGTACAAATATGCACCATGTCAATATAATCATCCCCAAAACTGCTGGCTACCCCTTTGTTAGACTGCATTAGCATTTTATCCAGATTTATCAATATGTTCAAGCAAGGCTAAAGATGCAGGAATCTCTTTCTTGATTACGTGAATGAATGGAATCAAGGATGAGGGGTATTTACCCAAAAATAAATGATGAGGGATAAGTGCAGTAAGTTATGTGAGATTGTTTTGAACATCTAGAAATTGACCTCGGGTTGAGCTTAAATTTACCAGGTAATGAGCAAAGCATTTTTGATACTATGTGACATAATACAGGTTAGAATGGCTTCAAGATATGTGAGTAGTACTCCTGAAGAAAAGGCTGGATGCTTAAAAGAAATCAGGCATGTCTATTGGAAGAAACATGAGATTTATGAATAACTTTTATTGAAGCAAATAAGGAAGAGGTGGGGAGACTTGCATAAAAGAACACCATTTATGTTTGGCATACTTGGGAGATTTGATGGTCGAACATTGAGGGCCATGAGGTTTTAGAAGATATATATCTGGGATTTGTGGAAGATGTACATGATTTATTAAAAATGACGACGCTGATAAGAGTCTAGTTCTATGGTTTGTTCTGTTTTCATGCTGAAAGTTGTTTCGGAATTGGTAGTGGATCTGTTTTGGCAAATGACTTACCTACAATTTGCAGTAAGTCCAACGGTCAAATATATCTTTGCGTGTAAATAATAAACATGATACGACAGAAACTTATATGCAGTTTGTTATGGTGAATACATAAACATAATCCTTTGCATGATAATATACTTCTTGAGCACCATACAAGATACTTACACATATTTGTTATAGTGTTTAGCGTTAACAAATAATGAGAGTAATACCAAGTTTGTGTTGGCCTTCACAAAAAACTTGCTTAAGCTCTTTAAGTTTATGAAACATATTCACCTGCCAAAGTTATCCCGGAATTTCGTGATATGCACTGGTGACTAATATAAGTCAAATTTTCTTTCAATTTTACAAACTTAAGTGATCTTATTGTGTGTCATCCACCCCTCATCTTGTGTACTGCAGATTACCTTCAGGTTTTGCTCTGTTGATCTCATTGTTAATTTATGAAGTTGCTTAATCTTGAATATTCACTTCATTGATTATAGGGGAGGAAATGGGAGCGATGATGGACATTGTGGAAATGATGGAACGATGACTGGAAAGAGGTGTCCCAAAGGCCGTTATGGCACATTTTGTGTTGTATGATTCTCCCTTTGTGATTTTCAGTTTATTTATAGCTGTGCTATATTTTGTGTTTGCAGTGGAATTTTTTTTCCAAAGGTGTTTATACAATGTTAACATTTAAAATGCAGGAATGTCCCATTGGCACATACAAGGATGTTGTTGGCTCTGACCCATCACTCTGCATTCCTTGCCCACTTGAATTTCTCCCTAATCGTGCAGCTTTTGTCTATGTTCGAGGTAATATTTTATTTTAAAACTTTGACTTTGTTGACTTTGTTTTTCATGTTTCTCATTGGCTAAGAGTCGTTCTATTTTCTTCTGGATTTCTTGTGCTATAAGATACAAAAACTTTTACTTATGATTTCCACATTGAATTTATAAATTTTTTTGCAGGTGGCGTTTCTCAATCAACTTGCCCATATAAATGTCTATCTGACAAGTATCGGATGCCAAATTGCTATACACCTCTTGAGGAGCTGATATATGCTTTTGGAGGACCTTGGCTGTTTGGACTTGTCCTGTCCTTTGTTTTGGTGCTTCTTGCTCTTATATTAAGTGCTGTAAGAATCAAAGTGGTTGCATCTGATAGATCTTATGGGTCCCCTACTTCTATGGAGTCCCAAGTTCATAATACATTTCCCTATCTATTGTCTCTAGCAGAGGTACACAATTCTAACTATCATCCTCATCTCTTTCGTGGCCGTGGATTCTATTTGTCAACCATCATGATTCTCTTTGAGATCATAATAAACTTTGCTCTAATTGTTCTTACTTTTTAATATCTAGGTACGTGAAACCAATCGAGCAGAAGAAACTCATGTTCACAGAATGTATTTCATGGGTCCAAATACCTTCAGAGAACCATGGCATCTACCCCACTCACCCCCTGATGCAATTATTGATATTGTGTAAGAATGGAAACCTTTTCTGTGATAGTCCATATGTGTAGCTTACCTTTGGACTCAAATTCTTAATTTCTCATTCCTGTTTTATACTCTGCAGATATGAAGATGCATTTAACAGATTTATTGATGAGATTAACTCCGTTGCGGCATACGAATGGTGGGAGGGTTCTGTTCATAGTATTCTTTGTCTTGTTGCTTATCCATGTGCTTGGTCTTGGAAACAATGGCGTCGGAGAAACAAGATTTGTCGCCTCCAGGAATTTGTCAAATCAGAGTACGATCATTCGTGTCTCCGTTCCTGCAGATCACGTGCGCTATATAAAGGAATGAAGGTTTATAATCTTTGACATGCTTGTCTCACTTTCAGATCCATCTATAAAATGTTTTAGCTTAGAAAAACACCTGCGGGGGCAACTTCTTGTATCCAAAGAATAAATGCATATGTGCTGGCCTCTGCATGTGTTAAATGTTGTCATGCAGGTCTGTGCATGTGTTATGCAATGTCATTTAGTATTGATTGCCTGAAATACCATATGGGTGTATTTGTGCATATATTATTTATTGAAGGAGCAGAATTTGATATCAGGAATGGGGCCTTGGCCTGGGTGTCCAGGGTGGTGGAGCCACAACATAATGTCAAGGGTTCTATTCCTACACTAATAACATGTGAAAAAAAAGAAGTATGGCTTTGATATCAAACATCTTTCATTTGATTCTCAGTTACATGGGACAATAAATTTCTGTCTAGAAATATTTTTGATTCCAAATTATTGTAGATTTTTACTTTTATTTTTTCTTATTTCATGTCAACTTTTAGTAGTCCATGCAGATGGCGTCAAGTTTGTAGAGTGTTTTTTTTTCTATTTTTAGAAAACAATTCTTAAAAAGTACATCATTCAAGTTCACAGCTAGCAGCAATATTTCTTAGGATGTTGCAAGAGAGCTTGTTCTCGAGACACTTATATTATTATTTTTCTAATATGAATGCTGGTACTTGCAGGTAGGTTCTACACCAGATCTGATGGTTGCCTACATTGATTTTTTCCTCGGTGGAGATGAAAAGCGGCATGATCTAGCCCCAGTTTTGCAACACAGGTTCCCTATGAGCATCATATTTGGAGGTGATGGAAGTTATATGTCTCCTTACTACCTTCATAGTGATCTTCTACTGACTAACCTTCTCGGCCAGGTATGCAGGTTCCTTTCCTGATTCCAAGATGTACTATTATTCCTCATAGTGTTATCCTGATTTTTGAAATATGCATAGTAAACATGGTGTCTGTGTTAGCAGTATGTTCCGACAGCAGAATGGAATCGGCTGGTTGCTGGTTTGAATGCTCACTTGAGGACAGTGAAGCAAGGGTGTATTCGCTCTGATTTGGTTCCCGTTATTAATTGGATCAACAGCCTTGGAAACCCTCAGCTCGAGTTTCATAGCATGAGGATTGAGATGGGATGGTTTCAGGCCACAGCCTCTGGATACTATCAGCTTGGCCTCTTTGTTGTAATGGGCTTTGGTGTGACACATAGTTCACAGAACTCTGATTTCTTTCTAAGCACTAGTAGCCATGATCAGCAAAGGTACCAGCATAGTTGGAAAATGTATTTGGCCGAAGTAATTTAGATTAATGAAACATGATCTCAAGAGTCAGATATATATTTTAAAAATTTAATGTAAGCTAACTTCACTTGTTTGGCTTCCAATTTAGGAGCAGGAATGCTTTTGCATCTAAGAAGGTTAATCAATTACAACAAAATCAACCATTTGCTAGTGGTATATTATCACATAAACGATTGAGTGGAGGGATAATAAATGAAGGTACTCTGCAATCATTGGATTACAGAAGAGACATTTTGTTCCCGTTTTCTCTTTTATTATGCAATACCAGACCAGTTGGTCATCAGGTAATCACTGAAATTGAATCGAGTTCCATTTTATTCTATAAGGTAGTTATAATGGTTAATTTCTCTCATCATTCAATGTCTTGTTCTTTTATGTGTTTCAGGACACACTTGTGCTACTAATCTCCATTTTGCTCCTGGGAGATTTTAGTCTCACCCTTCTCACCTTACTGGAATTCTATTGGATTTCTCTTGGTGCATTTCTTGCTGTCTTGCTTGTTCTTCCCCTTTCCTTGCTTTCTCCTTTCCCTGCTGGTTTGAATGCTCTATTCAGTCACATTCCTCGAAGATCTACTTCCTTGGCTCGTGTATATGCATTGTGGAGTGCCACTTCTCTATCAAATGTTGTAAGTTAAAGTTCTTATGAGTTACATTGTATTTTAATCCTTGCTGTGGTGTTTTATTATTTAGTGTTAAAGCTTGGGATTTTGAAGATGCTACTTAATGGACAAGGTTAAGAGCTTTGAACTTCAAACCACTAGGCTAGGGGTGTTTATTGGCTAAAATACACTATTGGAGCCTCACCGAAATTATTCATAGTTTTTTGCATAGGGAGCTAAGTAGTGAAAAAGATACATTAAAAAAAAATAATATTAGGGTAGTCATCTGGGCACCTTCAGTACTTGTTTGATTATTTTGAAATATATCGATTGCTGTCTTGGTAAAAAAGGCTTTTCTTTCTGGGTTATATGGACTTAGGTATCTTCTATGTGACACCATGAATATTTGACAAAACTACTCTGTACATGAATTACATGTTACCTACCATAGTTGCTGTAACCTTGCAGGAAAGGTCACGGACCTGCTCTGGACCCTCGATTCTGCGGTTCCAGCTAGGAATCTTGGATGGAATGCGGATCCCTATATTGTGATCCGCGTTCGCAGCAGGTTCGAACCACGGTTCTCAAGTGTATGACATGTTGCATATGATTTTTTCTCTATTTGGCACTGATTCATATGCAATGATTCAGTTTTGTGCCCAATGGTATTGTGAACCATGCATCATTCTTGATCCCTGAAAACATACTATTGCGATTCTTTCCCCATGGAATCGTGCTTCCCTGTGACAAGGTTCGTGCTCCCTTGATATAGGATCATCCCAACCACAAGGAGCTTCCAACAATCCACGGTTCCGCAGACCCTAGCCTGCTCCCACTCCAGGGAACGCACCGGCACTCGACAACTATGTTACCTACTAATAATTATGCCTTGCACATTTTTCTTCCTAACTATTGCTTCAGGGTTTCCACAGTTTAAAAGCTATTTAACTGTGAAGTTTGAGGTTTAATTTGAAAATGTTCAAAATTCCATTTGAATAAAAGTTATGAGAAATGGGATAGTATCAACATGTGCTTTATGTGCCGTGAGAACTATTCCCCATGGCAACATGGCAATTAATTTTGTTAAAAAAATTTTGATAAAAAATGGTACTGCATTTTTTAGGGCTTGCTTGTGACAGTCTAGGAAATCATTCCCTTTTTGCTTGGAATACAAAAATTGATATGTTGATTGCGGGGACATTAAGTGAAATTCATGAATGGCTTGGGCAGCTTGTAGCTTTCATATGTGGGATTGTGCACTACGGATTACCTTATGGGGCATCTGGAGATTCCAATGCATGGAACTTCAAGAGGTAAGCTCATCTTTATGTGAACCAAAAAACATTAAATTTTTGAGGCTTCAGCTTTTAACCAGCAAGATATACATATTTTTGAGGATTCAGCTTTTAACCAGCAAGGAAGTATATATCTTGTATTAAGACATTTTTCCATTATGATTTCTTCTCATCAAATGTTTCTGTGGAACTTAGAAACAACCTTGTTGGATGACAAGCTGAACTTTGGGATTGATTGAATTCTGTTTCATGCATGAATAGGGATGGAGATAAATGGTGGGTTCTGCCTCTTGTTCTTCTTCTGGTTAAATGCGCACAAGCACGCCTACTAAATATGCATATTGCAAATTTAGAGATTCAAGACCCAATGTTATTTACTGAGGACCCTGCAAGATTCTGGGGTTCCTGACTTTCCCACAAGAAGATATAACTCTTTCTTGGTGATGAAGATTTGGCTGCCCCATTGAGTGGTTTCCTTTGGTTGCTGATAAGAGAAGAGCTCATACCTTCAATGTAAATATGTAGCGGCATGTAAAGCAATTTGGTTGGTGTTCATTTAGAAATTATGATGCAGCACTTGATTTTTGTTAGCGCTGTATACAAGTTAATCATTAATATTCGATATGAACTTCATGTACTTACATTGTTGAATATGAACTTGCAGTTGATTGATTAGTTAATAGTGAACATGTGATTTGGTCTATTTACCATAAGGTTGAATGTTCCTCTTTTCGAAGGCCACATTGAGGACTATTAAGCTTTGAAACCCTGCGAGTAAAAAGACTGAGATTAAGGCCATGGCTTGACATCTCTTCTAGATACATTTCAGAGTAACGACTTTATTGTTATACTTCAGATAATTTATTTTTTTTCACTCTCTTTTGTTTTTTTTTTTTGTTTTAATTTCAAACCCCCCAAAATATGTGTTATGTTGATGCCTATATGGCTATATGCAATCTGGTCTATCATATTTATCTTACTTTTTCTTGCTTCCGTGGTTTAGAACCAGAGATCATATTTGTCGTTCTTTAAGAGAAGAATCATCTGAGACACTTTTGTGAAGTTGCATGATACCAAAAGGGAAATTAAAAAGGATATTTTTGGTTTCTAACATTTTAAAAAGCAGATATCTTCATCTCTGTGTGGAATTTAATTTGTTTGATACAATGATTAAAAAATGCTGAGTCTGGATTGGAAATTGGTAGCTGAATGTGGAGATTCTTGTCCGGGTCGCGAATTGGCCTTGTTGAGAGAGTGACGGATCTCGTTATTGAGCACTTGGGAATTTGGTTCCCACCAATTTTATTTATTTATTATTATTCTTATTAATTTTATTTTTCAAATAAAAAAAGTCAAATGGAAAAATAGTAAACCTCATATTAAAACTCACTAAAAACTGAATATCTGGCATCCGAAAACTTTCAAATCGATCATCTCAAACCTAGACCATTGTGGTTGAGAAAAAAAAGAGGATTTGAAGCCCCTAAAATGCGGAAGAAGTTCAAAAAAGTTTATATAAGGTGTCAAAACCTTATACCGTAGAAGTAAAGTGCACCTCAAAAACCCATCAAAGAATGTTGTTTTGTCACTAGAAACTTTTCCGATTGATCATCTTGACTTTGATACGTATGAATATGAAAGAAAAAATGAATTTTTAGTCTTAAAAATAGTACATCTTGTAGCACATTATTTGGACAATCTATTTTAAGATTTTCAAGTGTTCAATTATTTATTAATTCTACACTATTTTTGGAGCTTGTAATTTCATAATGGAGGTGAAACATAGATTCTTAGGCCATGATGAGAGTTTCAGCGCCAAAAATACAACTTTTAACAAGATTTTAAGGTGCATCTTGATTGACACCTTATACACCTTTAAAATAAGGGAATAGTTTATATAAAGCCGAGGCTCTAAACAATCAAATTTGAGCTTACATCAAAAATTTCACTAGAAGAGGTTGTTTTGATGCCCAAATATCTTCAAATTGATCATCTCGACATGGATATGCATGGACATGAGAAAAAAAATAGATTCAAGCTTTGGAAATAGCATATTTTGTAATATATTTTTGGACTGTCAATTTTCAAGATTTTCAAGTTTTCATAGATCTATCGATCTATACTATTTTTAAAGCTTTGAACTTTATAAATAAATATGAAAATATATTTTAAGTCTTTTACAAAGATTTTCAATATTAAAACCATATTTCTCGACACTATTTGAAGGTAGGCTCTAATTTGATTGTTTAGAGCCTAGGCTAAATACAAACCACACCCTTAAAATGTATATTGTAACATAATATCTAGACTATTTATTTCAATTATTCATGGATCCAGAAAATTTGTACCGCTTTTTGAGTTTTAAATTTCATAATCTGTGGTGGAAATTGATTCGAGTCATCATAGATATTTCCCATGGACAAAGTATTTTCGGAATGAGGTTTTTTTAAGGTCTATACCTTATAGAATCTACATCCTTAAAAAAATATCATGCTAACCTTTCTTAGACATATTCCCAAAATGGGGAAACGATCAAATTCTCCACAGATTGACAGTCCAAATCGGTCTAGCTGGTGATTGATTAGGCCACTCGATCGAGTTAAAAGACTAGTTTGATATAAACTATTCCATGGACGTACATTCAATGGCCCGAGGTTATTTAAAAAACCTTTATTCCATGGACTACGGTATTAAACTTAGGGCAATTGCGGGGGATTTGGAAACGGGTTGGGTCGACCCATGGACCTGATGGCTTTATCTATATGGTCCAGACCTAGGGTGTGGGTCGATTGGAACTACATCCAACCAGGGTTGGGTCTTGGTTTGGGTCCGTGTCGGGTTGAGATCCGAGTCAATCGAACCCTACCCGACCCAATATCTATAGGGTAGAATATGAGTATATAGTACCTATGTATTATAAAATATATAAAATATTTTTTATATATTTTTCATTCATAACACCTTGGGTCAGGTCGGGGTACAATTGACTATGACCTAGCCCAAGTTTGGGTCGGGTTTAGGTCTAACCTAAATTGAGTTGGTCTAGTCTGGACCAGGTCGACTTGGACCCTACCTGACTTATCCCCATACCTAACGCCAATATTTTTATTAAAAGGTATTTTGAATAATTTATTTTTAAAAATATTTTTTTATATTTTGTGTATTGCATATGCATTTGGAAAATTTTATGTATACCCACTTTGAAGAAAATTATTATATAAAATTTTAAATGTTTGTTTTCTTTCTTTCTAATATGAACCGCTAGAGGGTGCGTGTGTTCCACATTTAAACAAGAAAAACGTGTCTAATGAGATCCGACATTGACGTTAGGATAACTTCAAAACTTGAAGGTCCGATATTGTTTGAAATTTGAGCTAAAGTTGTCCCAAACTCTATGCAGGGTACTACTTTGGAAACAAAAATGTCTATAAATGTAATAACAATCTTCTTTTAGTTTTGTTTTGCTTTTGGGGTGAGGTTTTTGTTGTGTGTTGTGCACAGAAGCTCTAAACTCAATGGGTTGATTTTTGACAAATAAAGTACGCAAAATAAAACATGAAATACATACCATAAGAACAAAAAACGGCACAACAAACTAAAATCTACATACCAATAAAAGTTACATTAAAGATTGGGACATAGAGTTACCTCTCTAAACTTTGACAAAAATCCAAGTCAAGAAAACCCTTTTAAACAATTCTTCCTTCTCTTTCTTTACTTTTGACAACCATTATCGACAACACCAAATAGAGACGCAAGAGCAACGAGAAACTTTCTTTCTAGCTAAAAGGGAAACAACTCAAAATCTCAATGGGAACCCCTTCTCTACAAGAAACAAGCTTCTCAATATTCGGGAGTTTAAAAGAGGCGTCATCACAATGTTTATCTCTATAGAAAGCTCTTTTCTCTCTAAGAAGAAACTTTCATCTTATGCACAGGAACCTCTGCCCTCCTCTCTCTAGAAGAACCACCATTCCCATATGATGACCCAAATAAGGCATACAAAATTCTCTGCACTTTCATCTTATAAATATAAGGTTATGAATCCCACTAAATAGGAAACTTCCTATACATCTTACATATATCGCACAACCAAAAGATATATCCAATAGTCCTAATCTTTTTTAGATTTTTATTTTGTTTAGAAAACTTATCAAATATCACTATCAATCTGTAGACACCTCATTTTAAATCTGACAAATTTCGTGGTTTCCGGAACCCTTAGGATCACACTAACCTAGTAAACCCATTTTTTTTGGTTAAATACATGTTGGTTATGTGAGTATATCCTTTCCAACGGAATTTGGCCCCTATAAACCCTCCTTTTGTAGTCATTAGGGGACATAGAGAGACAAAAACCCTAGGAGAGAGTAGATAGAGATAAAAAATCTGATAGACCAGAACCTTATGGAAGAGAACAGATAGAGATCAGAGAGAAAAAACCAGAGAGAGTTACATGAGAGAAGAGAAAACCCAAGAAACTGCTTTAGGAACCCGAGCCTCTTGAGAGAAAACCTAAGTCTGAAAAAACCTTGACCTAAGGCACAACCACCCTAGATCTACCTTCAGGGCACAACCACCCTTCTCCAACTATAGACTTTTTGGTAAACATCCGACTCAGAGAGACAGAAGAGGACCACTTCTGACACGGGCGAGGCCCAGAAGGCTCGGAAGTCACGGGGCATCTGGCCCAGTTCGATATCATTTCTTTCTTTCTTTTATTCTTCTTTCATTGTTTTAATTTCTTTTTGATCTGTTTATTTGCTTTAAAATCGTATTTTCGTGTTATGAATCATGTTGGCTCTACCTCAGATATGAGTGTAGATCTGCTCGTTTCCGTGTAGATCTGACATTAGATCTGAATTCGATTTGTCCCACTTTCTTTACTACTTTTTTATTGCATTTTTCATTAGTTTAAGGTGTTAAAATCTAAGAGATCTTCATCGAAAGATCTGTCAAATTTTCATCGTAAACACAATCTCATATAATAAAGAAATATCTCAATCTCACATAATATGAGATTTCTTTATGTGGGTGATTTTGGATAGCACCAAATCCAACAATCTCTATATTGGTATCAAAACCATCACTCACTATGCCAACATCCATTAGATAGCTTCATAAATTATTTATCTTTTTCTAAATAAATTTCTTCATCATTCTTATTAAAAATTAACTTTGCATTCGAAACCTTTATTACCATACCGAAAATCCCGAATCTGGATTTGATACCACTTGTTGTGCGCATGAGCTCTAAACTTGATGGGTTAATTTTTAACAAATAAAGTATGAGAAATAAAACATGAAACACATACCATAAGAGTACAATAATTTACGTGGTTCACCCAAAAAGGGCTACATCCTTGAGCACGACAAACTGAAATCTGCTATACAATAAAAGTTACATTAAATATTTTGGGAGATAGAGTTACCTCTCTAAACTTTGACAAAAACCCAAGTCGAGTAAACCCTTTTAAACAACTCTCCCTTCATTCTCTTTACTTTTGGCAACCATTACCGACAACACCAGATAGAGATGCGAGAGCAATGAGAAACTTTCTTTCTAGTTAAAAGGGAAACAACCCAAATCTATCTCTATGGAAACCGTTTCTCTGCAAGAAACAAACATCTCATTCTTCAGGAGTCTAAAAATGATATTATCACAATGTTTCTCTCCATAAGAAGCT